AGCAGTGGCGTGAAAGGACCCCAGGGTTTGCAAGCGAAATAAACTCCATAAAGCTCATTGGAATTTCAAGGGGGCTCTTAGGGGACCCTCTGCAATGAGTAGGATCAAAGGAGATGCAGGAACCTGAGTATTCTAACTGAACTACTGGAGCAAGTTCAATTCCTTGTGGGTGTTCCAAGTATTCCTGCCTGATCCCAGCCATGAGCCGCTCTGTCTGCCGCCTGGCTGATCCCTGGTGGCTTCCCAGAGCATCCCTCCAGCTGCCTGAGCTTCCCCAATCTGAGCTGTTGCCAGGCATCCCATGCACACCCCACTGGTCTGACCATCTACGAGATAGCATCATCCCAAAGGCCGTCCGGCTCCCGTGCTGTTGAGTTCAGGCCTCCTTGGACACGAGCTTCCATTGCCCCAGCCTAGGGCTCGGCATGTGGGGGGATGCCGCCCCCTTGTGGTCGGTCTGAATACCTTCCTGTGGGTGAAATCCAGCGCAAAAGATCAAGATTGAAGTAGGCCAGACTTAAGGCCACCATGTCTTGAATGTGAGGAGATTCAGTACCTCCTTTCTTCCCTCTCTTTGTGGTTCCAAGTCAACCCAGTGCCCCAAGATGCTTACTGCGGTGTAGGGAGCAAGAAGCTAGCCCACAGACCCTCACAGTGCCTCTGTGACGATGTGGGAATTCATCCAAACCACACGTGATTTCTAAAGGAAAATTATGGTGAGGGTGCAGCATAAAACGAACACAAACCCTGGTGGGAAGCAAGGAAGCCCCCATCCGCACCCTCCCCCCAACGCTGCTCTGAGGACTTTCCTTTCCAGAGCACATGGGTCACCTTCACGTGAGTATGGAGCGGACCCACTTCCTGAAAACCCACAGAGTGTGGGCAGCTGACTCAGGAGGACAGGTGACCTCATCAGGACCACGGGGACTCATGGAAGGACATCCCCAAAGCCCAAAGCCAGCAGTATAATGGAGAACCGACCAGACCCAAAGACAGACATGAGTCCCAGCTCTGTCCTCTGCCTCATGGAGAAGCACTTGTCCAGCAGCATAAAAGAGGGTCAGATCCACATGCACACAGCCGGAAGCCACACCATCCACCTGGGTGCTCAGAAGCAAAACCACGCCACACCATACAAATGATGCCTGCATCTACAGAAACTACCCGAGAACAGCCTGCCCACTCACAACAGGGACCTCCTGAGAGAGCACACACTGGAGAGCCAGTACCCTGAGGACCTAGGGAGCATGCGCTGGACAGCCAGTACCCTGAGGACCCTGAATCCCTGGCCTTCCTTTTCCACCACTCTGGTCTGTTATGCCGTGATTTTTATCCAATCCTCATCTGGTTCCCACCTTGAAAGAGTCATCTAACTAATGTTAAGCTACCACCTATTATACTGGCATCCCTTACGGGTGCCACTTTGAGTCCCAGCTGTCACTGTTTCTATCCAGTTCCCTGCTAATGTGCCTGGGAAAGCTGCGGAAGATGGTCCAGACCCTTGGAGTCCTGTATCTATGTGAGAGACCTAGCTGAGGCTCCTGGCTCCTGGTGTCAGCATGGCTCAGGCCTGGCTGTTGTGACCATGTGCAGAATATCAACAGATGAAATATCTCTCTCACTACTCCTCTGTAACTCTGCCTTTCAACTCAATAAAATAAACAAAACCCCAATGTTCCATCCAGCTGCTGTCCATCCCATCCATGAACTGCTTGTAGGTATAGAGCTAGAAGAAGATCATGAGGGCCCAGCATGATAGCCTAGTGGCTAAAGTCCTCGCCTTGCAGGCGCTGGGATCCCATATGGGTGCCAATTCTAATCCCGGCAGCCCCCTTTCCCATCCAGCTTCCTGCTTGCAGCTTGGGAAAGCAGTCGAGGATGGCCCAAAACCTTGGGACCCTGCACCCATGTGTGAGACCCAGAAGAGGCTCCAGGCTCCTGGCTTTGGATCAGCTCAGCTCCGGCTGTTGCGGCTGCTTGGGGAGTGAATCAACGGACAGAAGACCCTCCTCTCTGGTTCTTTCTCTCTGTATATATGACTTTGCAATAAAAATAAGTAATTTTTTTTTTTTTTTTTGCAAAAAGACAAGTCATACGAACTTAAAGCAACAGGCGAGGACCGCACAGCGGTGTAGGGTGTAGGAGGAGGCCCCTGTCGCACAGGCAAGTGTGGATTCTCTGGTTTTTGTGGAAAGATGAAGCACAGTATGTGTCTGAGTGGCGATGCACCTTCTCCCCTCACTGAGGACCTGCCGCACACACCCCAACCATCACCATGCTGCTGACGGTGCTGTGGACCCCGCTCCCCGTGCACTGGCCCTGCCTGGCTGGCTGGGGTGTGGGGGGTGGGCAGTCAGCAGCAAGCCCTTTAATTTCTCCAGTCTCGTATCCTTTCTACTCCCACTTCCTGCAGGAGATCCCGGCGGGCGTTGTCTGCTCTCTGCCTGACTTCTGGCAGTATCTGTGGGCCACCTGGGGGGCTCCCCCGAGCACTGCCCCCTGGATATGTTAGCGTTAATGAAGCAGCCCATCTGTCCGGGAACACCGGCAGGCAGAGCTTGGGGGCAGTCGGTCTGGTTCTCCCTGCCCCCTGGCACCCACCTGTGCGCTTGCCCACACCAGCCAGACCCGGTCTGGTCTGTGTCTTCTGCCCTCAGCGTCATCTCTGACCGTAGCAGGCTGGCCACCCATTTCCACAGCCTGTGAAGTGAACTGTGCATGTTGGCATTTTTCATAGAAACTGTGTCCTGGGCTGTGTAAGATCTCCATCAACATGTATGTCATTTCCAGAACCTTTGAACATGCTCTTTTTTTTTTTCTTCTGGAAATAGTGTTGGTGCAGATGTAATTAAGATGAGGTCATCCTGGAGTAGGAGGGATCTTCGATCCAACGCAATGTCCTTATAAGAAGAGCAGAGAGGCCCGTGGGAACAGGTGTGGCAATGGCAGTAGAGATGTGAGTAACACATCTCACAAGCCTGGAACACCACGCAGGCTGCTAGCAACAGCAGAAGCCGGCAGAGAGGCATGGAGCAGACAGATCTTCTCCCAACACCCTCAGGTGCACCTTCCCCTGGGACTTCTGGCCTCTGGAACTGTGAGAGACAAGTTTCTGCTGTCCTAAGCCCCTCCAGGTCTGCTAATGCCATCTGCCATCTCCAACATAGGCTTGACGCTACTTGTCAAGGAGCAGGTGGCCTGATGTGGGGGTGACATGTGTGCCTGGTGAGTAATTTCATAACGGCAGGATGCTGCCGAGAAAATGGGGTGTCCTCTAGGACTTTAAAACCTTAGCACTGGGATATTCTGCTCCCGAGGGGGTTTTGTCGGTGCAATTTCCAACATCTTTCCAGGGAGAATCATGGCTTTGTCGCCCCTGTAATGGTTCAATCCTGGGATATGAGTATCTGCAGTAAGGGTCACAGGCAGGCGGAAGAGCTTTCAATCTGATCATTTCAGTGCCCGGTATTGGGGTGCAGTGAATAAAGCCACTGCCTGCAATTCTGGCACCCAACATGGGTGCTGGCGTCTGTCTTGGATGCCCTGCTTCCAGTTCAGCTCCGTGCTAATTGCTTGGGAAAGCAGCAGAAGGTGGTATAAGTGCTTGGAGCCTTGCCACCCAGGTGGGAGACCAGATGAAGCTCCTGGCTTCAGCCTGGGGCATGTACATCTGTTGTAGCCATTTGGGATTGAACTTGTGGGTGGATGAGTTCTTCCTCTCTGTCTCTCAGTAACTCTTTCAAATAAATAAATAAATCTTTGTTTTTTAAAAGAGATCATTTAGGGGGACTAGAAACAGAACCCCACACCACCCATGTCCGTAAGTAAAGAGGAGACCCCCTTGCCTTCCTCCTCTTCTGAGAGGCTCTTAAAACCCCAGTATGCTGCGGTCCTACCGAGCAGGACCAGCATCGCTCCAACAGGCAGCTCTTTCGGGGATAAAGAAACAATCTCCCAGACTTCCACCTTCCCTGATGGGAGGGGACTTCACGGAAACTTCATGGAAAATGGAATTAATCGTTTATTTTGGTATGAAAAAGTCTGAAATCCACACATACTAGGAGTTTCCAAAAGTTTACAGAAAATGCTTATTATGAACTACCGATGCATGGATTTCAAAATTTTTTGTACTAAAATATATAATATATAATATATATTTAGTATATAATATGTGAATGTGAGTGTCCAATACATAGAAAGAAAGAAGCAGACAGTTCGCATCTATGCTTCACTTTCCCAAATGTCCACAACAGCCTGAGGCCTGGGGAGACCAAAGGCAGGAACTGGAATTCAACCCAGGTCCCCCCAGGGCCAGAAGCCAGCTCCTAGAGCCAGCCCGCTGCCTCTCAGGGGCCGCCTCTGCAGGAAGCTGGGAACGGAACCCAGGCTGGGCACTGACCCCAGACCCTCTGCTGTCAGACACGGGAGTCCTCCCAGCCATCTCAGCTGTTCAGCCCAAGTCCCCCTCACGCCCGTATCTGTCTTCATTGCACCCTCCACGAGCACGTTGAAGCACCCTCACAGATCGTTAGTGTGATCCACAGTGCTCAAGTGAGCACAGTCGCTCTTCAGCTCACAAATGCACAGGAGCCTAAGGGACCCTTCTCTCACACGCGTGTTATCTCCTCCCTGTTTCCCCAGCAGCTCCATCCTGCCTCCCTTCCCCAGAAACAGGGACTCCCAAGCCCCCAAATACCGCACGCCAGGAGCTGGGGAAGACAAAGAGCCAAAACTGAGCCTGCCCTCTGACCCTGGGCATGGGACAGCCCTCTGCTCCGCCCATGCTGCGCGGCAGAGGCTGCTGTCCTTGCCAATCGTACTGTGAACTCAGGAAGGTTTAGGCTCTGAGAGGTCAGTGCAGGAAAAGTGACAGGTGTAAAGTGATGTTGTTTTAGAGGGAGAGCCACAGGGGAGGCCGACGCAGACCTGCGCACTCAGCACGGTCACGACAGCCACCGGCAGCCCAGCACCCACCTGCAACCCTAGCATCATTGTCTTACTTTTTCTGGAGCGCGAGAAAAAACGGATGCCCCCGGGTGAGGTAGACGGGTTGGAGTTGGGCGAAGACTCTTTGGACGAGGAGCGGAAGATTCCACTGAAGCTCATGCGGCGTGGCGAGCGCGGAGGCGACTCCTGGTAGGAGAACGGGAACACGGTTTTGGGAGAGCCGGGGCTGGTCTTGGGCCTCACGGGAGCAGACACGGGGCTGGAGGGCCGGGGCTGGGGGCCTCTGGAGAAGAGCCCTTTGGACGGGCTGCCCGAGCTGAAGGGGCTGTCCACCTACAGGGAGACAGACACACGCTGCGGTCACTTGAGAGCACTGGCCAGTCTGAACCGTATCAGCGTCATTCACTCTCACCAAGCTGCCGGAGAAGTGGCCTTGAGATGCTCCACGGAGAGGCCCAGACACGGGCAGAAGATGAGCACCTGACCCGAGGGTGGCCCCTCCACAAGCTGGTCAAGCATCATCCCAGAGGCCCACAGGCCACGTTGTCCAGTTTCCTGGAAGGGTCTTCCAAGAGGCAGAGGCGCAGCTGCTGGCAGGGAAGATAGAGGTGCGGAAGGTGCGGAAGGCTTGGGGTGATGCACCTTCTTCCCAGAGCCCATTCACAGGCCTGCCTCTTGGGACCTCCTGTGTGAACTTGTTAGGTCTGCCTGCTCAGGGCTGCGGTTCTCTGCCCCTCAAAATGAGAAGGCCCCAGAGTCTGCGGCCCAGAACAAAGCTGGCCAGACGCCCTTCCTGCCATGGGAGCTCCCAACCTGCCCGTTGACTCCAGTTGCGGCTCCTACTGGGACCACTCATCCTCTAAGGATCCTAGTCCTACCTGCTTCTGGTAGTGCTAAATGTCCAACGCCAGGCCCCAAGTGGACTTCGGTTCTGCCCGAATCCACAGTAAGCACACGATGTGTGCTAATCGCCCACTGCCCTATCTCCTGGGAAACTTGTAACACTGGAACTGTAAGAATCTCAGGAACTCACGGCTGAGTAGCTCAAGAGAAGAGTAACTCATTTACGCTTGATCTTACCCAAAAGATGGAGAAGCGATAGTAACAGCAGAGACTCTGTAATGGCTACCAGGGATGTTCGGTGGTACCCAGAGCCAACTCTGTGCGCTCTTTCGGGTCCTCCTGGGGTCCCCACACTTCCAGTGCAGGACCGAGGGGAAGGGGAGTCCTCCCACCACAAGAGGGCGCCCCCAAATCTGAGTCGTGGGGCTTTAAGGCGAGCCGCTCACCTGGTTCCAAAGTTCAGCTTTTCCCCCCTCTTTTGAGCACCTGCCATGAAAAGCATTTGCATTCCTGCCTGTAGGGACTTACCCAGTGTAGCTGACATCCCACCTGTGGGACTCAGAGTAGGGCCTGGAAATAAATTTTCAAGCCAGAGTTTCTTTAAGTATCAGGTCCCTATGTACAGGCATGGGGTGGGGAATGGAGGTAAAGGGAAGAGACAAGCCTTATTCTCTGTAGGGACAGCACACATCGGGTAGAGGCTGACCTTACAGCAAGGGCTCTGGGCAGAAACCTGCACCCCAATCCTGGCTGTTTGTAGCAGAATGAAAAAGTGACACAGGACAGCTTTTACAGAAAGAGAGAGGTCTTCTATCCACTGGCTCATTCCCCCACACAGGACAGCAAGTCTGGGAGGCAGGAGCTTCTGCCAGGCCCCCCACATGGGTGCAGGGGCCACCCTCTGCTGCTTTCCCAGACCATAAGTACAGAGCTGAATGGGAAGTGGAGCAACTGGGACACAAACCGTCACCTGTATGGGATGCTGGCACCAGCAGGCAGAGGATCAGCCTGCTATGCTACTGTGCCAGCCCCGACCTGTGCTTTTTAAGCCTCTAGTTCCTCACCTGTGAATTGATGTCAGAGCTACTTGCAGATAACTATGAAGACAATGGGATACAACACAAGCAAGGTCTTTAGCGTAGTCCCTGACACATTGTGGAGTATTTACACCGATCACCTTGTAGCACTGTGAGGTTGGTACTAATGGGTCCCTGATGCCCGCAGGCTGTCGGGAAGCAGAGAGGCCTGCAGGAGGAAGTGGGGCTGGGTTATGGAAAGTGTGTGATGTGAGGCCTCCTCCTGCCATGAGGGGTACCCGCAAGGGCTCATCAAAGGGAAAGGCCCAGCCAGATTTGATTTAGGGTCGGCCACTCTGATGCCCTCGATCACTCCCCTCTCTCTAGCACTCAGTGAGCATCCAGGAGCCCAAAGCCAGAAGGTTCTGGAAGGCTGGCCTCATCAGGCCTCTCCACCCTCATAGCACCAAGTGCAGATGGTGGAGCGGGGTAGGGGCACTGCAAGCTAATCCTTGGCCCGCAGTGCCAGCATCCCATGTGGACACCAGTTCATGTCCAGCTGCTTCACTTCTGATCCAACTTTGTTCGTGGCCTGGGAAAGCAGCAGAGGCTTGGGGCCCTGCCCTGCATGGGAGAACCCCCAAAACTCCTGGCTCCTGGCTTAGAGTCAGTTCAGCTCTGGCTGTCATGACCATTTGGAGTGTGAACCAGCAGATGGAAGATCTCGCTTTCTCTCCTGCTTTCGCTGTAAAATCTGTCTTTCAAATAAAAATGTACAAATCTTTAAAAGGGGGAAAAAGGAAGAAAATGAGGAGGGCCAAGGTCCAGGGGGGGAGTCACACTTGAAACTCCTGGAAGGCCAGCTCAGGGCTCTCCTCCAACTCAGCCCCCACATTGCCCAGAGAACTCTGCCTGGGGAGGGGGGCCAGCTCAGGACTCCCCAACTCAGCCCCCACATTGCCCAGAGAACTCTTTCTGGTGAGGAGGGGCATGGTGGAGATGATGTTGGGGTCCCTTACAGAAAAGGAACCAAGATGCATAGGATCTCCAAGAGATCGCAGAGCAAAGAGATGGAGGGCAGGCCCCGGCTGCCTCCCCGGGCAGGCTGGGAGCCAGGTGGACAGTGGATGCTGCTGAGCTACTAAGGACACAGCTCCAGTCACGGCCAGTGTGCAAGCTGCAAGAAAATGATACTTGATCTGTGTAATTGGATGATTCCCTGGGTACAGATGAGTAAACCTGAAGAGGTGGCCAGAACACCCCTGTGGTCCTTTTCCACTTTCATCTGGACCCCTCTGGAGCCACCAAAGGCATGGGCCTGTGCAGGACCCCAGCTCTCTCTGGGGATTCCTGCGGTGGTCTCAGCTCCTACCCATCCTTGGCTGGCAGGAAAGGCTCTGGCAGGCCCCAGCATACAGGGGTCCCTGTTCCCCATGAGGCTGGCAGCTTAATGGTTCCTTCTTGCCAGTCCAGCTCAGTCCCTGACAAACCAGGAAGCTCTGGGCCCAGGCATGAGGCTATTCTCTGCCTGTCTTTCTTAGCTAATAAGGTTGCTGATTAAGAGCAGAGCTGGGCAGGGAGCCATAGCCCATGGAGCCGTAAAGTGTGTACTTTTAACATGCTCGGAGAACACACACGCTTTTTCCAGTGTCAGAATTTCTGACTGAGTCCCAGGCTGTTGAGCAAACGCTGGCAGCATCCATTGCTGGCTCCTTCCTGCATCTACCTGCCCAGGGCTCTGTGGGTGAGAGGAGGTCTGGGGGCACTGCCCCACCCCAGATCTCTACCTTCTCATCCTGATGGCAAAGGAAACTGGGTAGGGGACCTTGCCCTCCCCTCCCCTCCCTTCTGTGGCAACCTTTCCTGTGCTGAGCCCACCCCTCTCCTGCTGTGCCCTCCCCTCCCCTGCTGTGGCCACATTTCCCCTGCTGTGGTCACCCAGCCTCTTACCTGGCACCTTGGTCTCTCCACACTCACACTCCTTGTCTACCTGACCCTACCCAGGTGTCAAGAGCCTGGATTGTTCATGGTGGAGAAGCAGCACAGGCTAATGAGAAAGGGAAAGTGGAAAGGAAGCAAAGGGAAGGGAAAGGGATCTGGAACTGGGGGACAGGGCCAAGGGAGAGAGATCAATGCCTGGGGATCCAGGCCCTGCATGTAATGCACCAGGTTAAGCCCTCCCTTGCAAAGCCAGCATCCTATATCACAGTGCAATTTCATTGTCCCGGCTGCTCTGCTTTCAATCCAGCTTCCTGCTAATGTACCCAGGAAGGCGGCCAAGGTTGGCTCAAGTATTTAGGCCCTTGCCACCCATGGGAGAGAGATGAGGTTGGTGTTCCTGGCTCCTGGTTTCAGCCTGGTTCAAATCCAGCTGTGGTGGTCATTTGGGGAGTGAACCAGCAGATGGAGGACCTTTCTTTCTGTGTCTCTCCTAACTTTACTGAAGCTTTCTATCATCTCTTTGCTACTTAGCAGCTTAGGATATTTAACTTAGTGCTAATACTTCTCCTTGAGCACCCGTGGGGAGCTCAGTAGCCACGGCCAGCCCCAAAGTGAGAAGAGACAGAAGTGAGGCCAGAGGGGCTCTAAGATTGGACAATGCAGCAGGGATGAGGGCCTCGGCCGTGGACAGTGAGCTGGCCCTGGTGTGCAGCTGGGAGTACAGGGAGAGGCACAGGTGGCAGTGGGTCCCAGGCACCTCTGCCTCCATGAGCTAGGAGCAAGGAAGCCTCACCTTTCGAGAAGAATGCTTTTCTGAGCTCTCCAGGTCTCCATCCAGGAGCGGCATGGCAAAGGAACTCAGGTCCTAGGGTGCAAAAAATGCATAGTCAGTGTCAACAGCCCTGGGTGCATTGTTTATCGCCCGCCCACTCCTGAAAAATCAGCCACGCTGGCAGGACATGGGTGGAAGCCCAGTTCCCTGGAGCACCCTCTCCTTGTCACTCTCCCTGTTGGGCACTGAAGGGGTCCCAGGAGGAGAGCAAAAAGAGGTGAGGATACCAGTTCCCTGCTTTGGGATGTTTTGGGGAATAGAGATGGATGGAACTTTATCTCGGGGGCTTCGCAAAGGGATCCAAGGAATCTTGGGAAGGAAGTAAGTCAGAGATCTCCAGGGATGGCAGGTGGATAAGACAGTAAGCAAAACCCTAACTGGAGGCCGAGGGGAAGTAGAGTGTGAGGAGCCGCTCACCACACACACTCCCGGAGTCTCAAGAGGGACACTGCTGGACCCCAGCCCTGGTCCCCACCGGGTCCTGCCTCCTGCCTGAGCAAACTAGTGCGCACCACACAGAAGCTCCACCTGGCCAGCCTCGGGTCCAGGAGAGCTTACATCCTTGGATTTTATTTTCAGATTTTGGATTGTTGTAAAATCCGCATGGAATACCATTCACTGTCGGAATCCCTTCAAGTAGATTGTCCAGGCACGGGCAGTGGAGGTGTGGGCAGAGGGGGAGCTGGTTCCCCCAGCAGTCTCCTCACTGCTCCTGTTTCCAGAACCTCTCCTTTTTCTCCAAATGAAATTCTATACCTTTAAAAGCCCAAACTACCCCGGCTTTCCTCTCTGTCGTCCTTAACACTAACTCCCATCTCTCCATTTGGTTCTACGAGGGTACTTCATGGGAGTGGGCTTACACGGGGTTCGCTTTGGCGGGACCTCTGGGGGACCCAGTCGGGATCTCCTACCTCTCTGAGGCTGAGGACTACTTCACCCTATGGAGTGCCCACATCCTGCTGAGCCTGCCATGCACCGTGACACACTTGGGCTTCTATGTTTCTGCTATTGTGAGCAGTGCTGCTAGGTGGTAAGGGCATTGCGGGCATCCTGTGCCCCATTTGCATTGCCACCCTAATCTCCACGAGCTCAGAGTATGTTCGTGTTCGCAGACATGGCCTAAAGCAGACAACCTCTGAGTTACAATGAGTCACTAAGGTGGACCCGAATAGCTCTTACATTTTGGTCTTTGACCCATTTTGAATTTGTTTTTGTGAATGGTGTTGGTTGAGGGTCCAATTTGTTTCTTTTGCAGGTGGATGCACAGTTTTCCTAGCACCAAGTGCTGAAAAAGATTGTCGTTCCTAACTGGCTTTCTCCCACTTGCATCCTTGTCAAGGTCATGTGAGGATTCCAGATGTATATATGTGAAGTACGTATATATATACACCTCTGTTCTGTTCCATTGGACTACGTGTCTGTTTTTATACCAGTACCACACTATTGTTTTATTGCTATGGCATTGAAATAAATCTGAACCAGGAAGTGTGAGATCTCCAACTTTGTTCTTTAGTTTCAGGGTTATTTTTGTTATTTGGTATCCTGTAAGATTCCATATGGACTTTAGGAATTTTTTTCTATTTCTGCAGAAAAATGCCACTATTTTCTACTTGAATTGTGTGGAATCTGCAGATGCTTTAGGTGGTATAGGCATTTCAGCAATATTGTATTCCAATCCATGATCATGGGATATTTCCATTTTCCCATGTCTTCCTTCCTCTCCTCAGCAGCAGTGTGCTGGAGTTTTGTTAATTCCTGCTTTTATCTTCTCCCCTATTCCTGTCCTCTGTCCCTGGGATCCAGGCCTGCAAGCTCTCCCCACATGTTCTCCAAACTTTTCAGCCTTCCTTTTTTCAACCCACCCTCCAAGTCTCTGCTTGAACAGCCATGCCCAACAAAGTGAGCCTTGCCATGTCAGCCCCTGCCTCTTGGCCCCGGGCACTTCTGACAATGGCCTTCTAGACCTGGCCAACAGAACACACAGAGGAGCTGTTACGCATGCAGATCCCTGGCTCAATATCTGGAATGCCATTGATTTCAGCTGCTGCACGTTGGGATGACCTAGGGAACTTGGGACTCAGAGCAGAGGTAGAGTTGATTGGCAAAGGCACTGCTTCAGCCACAGTAAAGAGCTGCCAACCTCCCTCTGTGGGCAGGACAGGGAGGGGGGCATTCAGGATCTGCCAGTCAGGCGCTCTCTGCCAGACCTCGAGGCTCCAGCCCAGGCCCCTTGAGTTGGCAGCTTCAATTCTGATGTACTCTGTGCTTGTCTTCCTTGCAGGCAGCCTTTGTTCATGGCTGTGTGTCCATGCACATTCTGCCTGGAATGTCATCTCAGGAGCTCAGGGCCAAGCCTGGGAGCCCAGTTCACTCCAGCAAGCTCTCATGCCCACCCACTGGCATGGCTGTCACTCTCCGAATACTTCTTCTGACCTTGATCATTCTTGCTCTCCTGCCCCTTCTCCCAGGTCCTGGTTCACAGACTGAACTTCAGTGTGTGCTGCGAAGCTCCAGTGAGTACAGTATTTCCAGTTGGCACCACCCTCATGCAGGGTTTGCCCTTCTCTCCCCGGCAGCCCCCAGACCTCCAGACTTGTTTTTCACACAGCACAAGCAGTGCTGTGTTGTAAACCTCTCCCTGTCACTCTCTCTATCCAGATTGTTCACTGGCCCCGGGCAGTGGAAAAGCTACCCATCAGGCTATCTCTGCCATGCACTGTGTCCAGCAGGCACCAGGTCCTAAACATGATTGCATGAACCCCATGGCCACTATCCCCTCACCCCAGCAGCCAGGGTGGCACGAACCACAAAGTTTGGGCTACCAGAATAGCCATGAAGCAAACCCCACATGGCTGCCTCCATCAGGAAACCAGGAAGGTCTCTTAGCACTCATTATAATCCTTGTCCACTTCCAAGTACATTAGTAATTCACATCAAAAACCTTCCTTCAAGGGAAGGCCCTCCCATCATAGCCCCAGGCAGCAGCTCTAGCAGTCAGGCCAAGGAGATTAAATTAACATGCAAGAAAGACAGTCAGGGAGAGCTGAGACCACGGCACAGTCTTGCTCCTGTCTCTGGCTGCCCACGAGCCCCAGCAAGCCGCCTGGGAGGAGCTGCAGGTCTCACACGGCCACTGCCATCCAGGGTCAAACTGTGAAAAGGTCAAATCCAGTGACCTCTGCTGTGTGCCCGCTCCTTGGCACCAACACCCAGGCCAACCAATCCCACAGGGAAGTCCCTAGGCACAAATGGTGGGTTCTGCCCTACGACTATTCACCTGGGCTCCTGGTGCCCACCAAGGCACATCATGCACCTGGGAGGCCTAGGTGGGAAAACCTCTCACTGCAACTCTGACTCAAGGTCAGTGGGGTGTGGGAACCTCAAGACCCGGCCTCCCTCCCCGGGAACTTCCAGCAGACCAGGCTGCTGGGACTGGCCATGGCTCCTCTCACTGCTGTTGTCTACCCTAGCCACAACCTCTTTGCTGCTCATCCTGTCAGCCAGGTTGCCAGGCCCTCGTGGACATCAAGCGGGTATTTCAGTAGGTAGTGTCAGGCTTCTAACAGATGTGAAGATGCGATCTCCCGCCCAGAAAACCCAGCTCTCACCAGCTGCACATGGTGCAGTGCGGACTTAGCTGCAAACTCTGCAGATGCTTAGCGAGGTCTTTGGAGAATGTGGTTCCAGTCTTTGGATTGGTCAAGTCACCAGTCAGAAAAGGAAAAAGTCATTGTGTAAGCTAACCCTAAAAGCCGTTCTGGGGCTGGTGCCATGGCACAATGGATTAAGCCTTGGCCTGCGGCATCAGCTTGAGTCCTGGCTGCTCCACTTCCCATCCAGTTCCCTGCTTTTGGCCTGAAAAACAGTGGAAGATGACTCCCCTGTACCCACGTGGGAGACCCAGAAGAAGCTCCTGGCTCTTGGCTTGGGACCCGCCCAGCTCCAGCAGTCACAGCAACTTTGGGGAGTGAAGCAAGTAAATAGAAGATCTTTCTCTATTTCTCCTTTTCTCTCTGCAACTCTGCCTTTCAAATAACAATATATATATTTTTAAGAGCAGCCCATTTAGCTGCCTCTCTCTTCAGAAATCCAGGCGAAAGTCAAGCATTGGCCACCATTAACCCAACATTTAGTGTCTTTCTTACTTCTCCTGGTTGTTGCTTCATTTGGTCATTACAGCAACCATCGCAGGTAGGAAAGGCAAATGATTTCATCTCAGTCTACACACAACGGGGAAGGTGCACTTGCCCAGCAACCAACACCCAGCGAGCAGCACCCAGGTCTGCCGAGCCCCAGAACACAACTCTGCTGAATGAACCAGCCCTCAGAGGGGCTCAGCTCCATCAGCAGAAAAGCAGCTTGCCATCTGATGCACCTGCACTCAAGCTGAGCCCCTTTGGCAGTGCCACCCCAGGGGAAGAAGGAAAGACGAAGCCCTGTACTGTTCCTGTCCAAAACAGCTTATGATGCTCTCTCTTCACACTCTTGTCTGAATGAGCAAGGAAAAGGGCAAACTCTTCCCCCACAAAGGTGGTCACTTCACATCCCAGCATGGCCTGCACTGTACCTAGTTTGGAGTTCCACCAAGAGCCCTGACCCTTGGGTCTCCCCAATATTTCCTCATAAGACATGGAACTTTCTAACGTTTACCGACAACTTGCCTGTGGATTTGTGAAGGATGGGGAGGCTCTTCCTGGTCACGGGTGCAAAGCGTGTGTACCGATCAGATACAGGTTTGACTAGCTTTTTGTGTTTCTGATGTTAGCTCTTAGAGAAAAAAAAAAAAATCTCCTTTGTTGATGCAGCTGGGATGCCCCAGAAAGAGGGCTGACCAAAGGGCAAATACAGGACAAACAGAAACCCTGCCAGTGTTAGGGACCCAGGATTCCCACCTCAGGGCAAGCCTGAGCTTTGAAATAGCAGGGGTCACAGCAGAACACGCAGCAGAACATTCCTGCCTGCCTCCCACCGAGCAGGGAACACATTCAGGCTGATTTCCATTCCCTGTCCCTGCTGTGTAGTCCTCAGTACAC